AGTCAATATCGTGCGCCCCAAGCAACGGGGGTGGACGGGGGGGGGGACACGCGGTAGCTCTTTTACATTTATTAGCGGGTTTTCCCCGTGAAGTCAAAAAAGTGCCTCCGAGGGCGAAAAAGTGCTTTTGTGGGAAAAATGTGCTTCCGAGAAATGGCCCACCTCCCCGGAGGTAGTTTTTTGGGAGAGCACTTTTTTTTCAAAATAGAGGACAATTGAGGCGCTCCAAAATTGTGCTTTCGCGAAGAGACCCGCCAAGGGGCACTTCGTTCACACGTCTGCTGAGCAACGAGGCAACGCGCAATCTAACCACAAGAGCAAGGCTACCTCTGCGTCTACCTCCTGCCGAACGGGGAAAATGTGAACCGCCTGGTTGGCGCCTTGGTAGGTGTGTTCCGCGTAAGAGGAGCGTTCTGCGGTTTCGTGTGGGAGAGTCGCCGGCGGTGTGAGAGGAGCGGCGACAACACTCGCAAGGGGTGCCCTCCCTGACAAAGGTCGTTTCGTTTTTGGTCGAACACACAAGCGCTTGGGGCAGGGTTACCTCGCGAAGAGGGGCGTGGACCCTGGGGCCGACGCGTTCGCGGTGCTGCTGTCGCTTTGATTCGACACGGTCTTCACAGGGGAATCAAGCGAATCTGAAACCGGCGCTCTCCCGCCGGCAGTCGTACCTCGCCTCGTACCCCGAGGCCCAAACCGCTTGACGAGGCGTTCGACTACAGCAGCGGGAGGCGAGGCCGTGGCGCGGCGAGGTCGTTTTTAGGGACTGCCGTAGATCCGCTGGACCTGGATAGCTCGCTGGATTCGGCACACGCGAGTGGCGTGGGCCACGACAGCGCCCGCCAACACGAATATTCCACGGGCGGGGCGGGAAAGGAGGAGGAGGAGGAAGGGGGGGAGGAGGAGGAAGAGGGAGAGGAGGAGGAAGAAGGGGAGGAGGAGGAAGAGGGAGAGCAGCAGCACCAGGAGAAGGGCGACGAGTACGAGGATGACGACACAAGCTCTGGTGAGTGTGGAGAATTGTTCCTCATGCGCGTATACATGTACACATGTAGTCTAAGGTTTAACATGTGTTCCGTGAGAATTTCAAAATGGTTTCTCGGTCTTTTTTATTCTAACAACCTAGTTGACCTACAGCAGTACGGCACCGCGGCGGAGCCTACCTACGGGATGCCGCGTACTTTTTATCTACAATGGACGATAGCACGATCACGGCAGTAGTTTGAAGCTGTGGAGGTCGAGGTGTAGTTGAGGACCTCCCACAGCCTGAGCTCAGCACAGATAATAAAAACCTGCCACACCGAGTATTGAGAGTATTTGCAATTCAATATGATAGATATTTTGAGGAAACCGAGGCACTACTATGTACCACTTCGTAATACGAAAAGGTCGTGTGGTGCTGCTGTATGGCTGGCCTTCACGTGTATGCAAGCGCTTCACTTAGCGTGTAGAGAAGAGGCAAGCCTTGATTTCAGCGCGCACCAACCAGTCGCAGAATCGATTCACAACGACAATCGTTTTGCGCCTCGTTGAACGTCGTTGCCTGGGTTGCACAGGTGAGATGGAAGCGACAGTTTGTTCGTGCGCGACGGGGAGAGGCACCTCGTTTGGATGGTGTTGACGGAAGTCAACCCGTGGCGCTAAAGGCAACGTGCCCAATCACGGAAAGCGTGGGGAAGGTGTGCCGACAAGGTCGTGAAGAAAAGCAAGCTCAAGATCTCCACTCACCGGGGAGAGAAGACGGTCAGGGTCGATGTCGCCCGTGGGCAGGTGAGGTGGTGGGCAAGGCGGGGGTGTCGCGGGGGCAGGTTCGATGGGCGACCTAGTGGTGAGGGGTGGCTCTTTTGACGAAGGATTACAATAATACGATTCGCGGAGACACAATAATACGGAAAACCAGGAGCGTCTGAGTTTCGCGTACATTTGGCGTGTTCATGTGTGTTGTTGGTGGCGCTCGAGGAATGCTTGCTGGGTTGAGGAGCCCTCCCACGGAGGTCACGATTCAAACACTGATTTCCGGACGTCAGCATACCCTGAAACAAGCAGCATAAAATTGGGATGAGTTGGGGTCTGCCATTCAAGCCCTTGCTTGCTGCGAGCGGTATTGAACTGGTTGCGAGAGGTCAACATAAAAGTCGGTGGAAAAAAAACGAGCGTACACCGACAAAAAAAACAAAGGTGGATTGTTTTTCGCCCTCTTCATGTGTTTATCTGAGACACCCTCCCCAACCCTCCTTCCTTCTCTATGTTGTTTCATTTCCTATCTTCGCGATGTATGTTGCATCCCGCGAAAGTCTCCTCACCAATGACCTAGGGTATCTTGTGTCCAACAAAATAAATCGTTTTACAATTTCGGCGTTGTCCCGTGGACAGGCTTTGGGAAGGGAACTCGTGGTGGACAAGATGAAGAGACTGTGGTTACGTCACCACTCGAAGTTCTTGGAGAAGGAGAGGAAAGCTCTCGCAAAGACAAGAGAGGGAACCCGGACCGCGGAGCAGTGGGCGGAGAAGTCGGAGACTATGGAGGTACGTACTTCTGTGACCGTCACGGAGGCATGCTGAACATAGTACGTTCTGGGCACGAGGACATAGACTTGTATCTGGGGGCGAGAAGGAGTTTTATTTTTTTTTCTTAGTGGAGGGTATCCTGGAGGGGAAAGCAGTGCGGGCGGCAGAAAAAAAGGTAAGAAACATTGGCTCGCATGCACATGCACCGCAGAGAAATACACGCACATTCTTCACAGAGAAAGCTTTGTTTATAGGCCGTTCGATGTAGTGTTGAGCTACATGGGTAAAGAAAACACTTCTGCCCTACTTTTCCGCCCGAATTCGGTCTGGTTTCGTAACGTTCCCGGTACGGTGACGGTAATTACGGACTAGGCCGACCATATCATCGTTGCTGTGCGTGCGCTTGCGGTCGCAGATGATAGCTCTGGAGACCGCTGTCCGCCTGTGCGAATCGTGCAAAGATGTGGTAAACGGAGGGAAGGGGGTGAGCGCGGAGCACCAACATCGGGCCGAACGAACGCGGAAGAAGGCCCTTGAAAATGTCAAAGCGAAGGGGAAGAAGTCGGCAACGGGGACCGTTGCTGACGTGCGCGGTGCTAGGGGAGGGCTAGGTAAGCGGAAGCGGAAGTCGCAAGGGGAACCCCTCCACGCCGGCTTAACCTCGTTGGGCTCGGACGGCGTCTTGGGAGGGAGTGGGGGCGGAGAAGAAGAGGCAGACTCGGACGATGACGACGACGTCGTCATCGAGGGCGAGGACGACGGAAGCTGCTTAGCAAAGGAGCAACCGCGCAGGGACGACGTAGGGAAGGCCGTGGCGTCCGGCAACCTCGGGAGGCAGGTGAGGTCAGCGCGTCGCTCGGCTAGGTCGTATGAGTCGGAGGATGCCGGGGGGGAGGAGTTGGTGAAGACCCTCGCGGGTTACATGGTGAGGAAGATGGCAAGGGAGGAGGAGAAGGAAAGGGCACAAGGTGCGAGTGGATCAGGAGCGACGGCGGCACCGCCGCCGCCGCCGCCGCCGCAGCAGCAGCAGCAGCAACAGCAGCAGTAGCAGCCACCTATACCCCAGCAGGAGCAGGAGGTATCATCCAGCATGCACCAGCGAATCGCCACCGTCGAAGCCGGGGTTGGGGCCTTGGGTCAGAGTTTTCGAGGTATCGAGCAACGGTTGGACCAAATGTTGGGCGTGTTCGAGAGGTTTGCCGGAGGGGCGGCGGCGGCTGCACCAACCTTTGCCCCTTCGTTCCCCGCCGCTCCTGCTCCTGCGTTCCCCGCCCCCATGGGGACGGGAAGTATTGCAACGGTAGGGGATCTACGCCTCCGGCACCGACCCCAGCTACCGCCGCGGCGGTAGTTTCGGGCACCTCTTCTCGTCCCGCCGCGGTCGGGGTTGACGGCCCCGGCGAAGAACTTGGGCCTGGGGCCCGGACGAATGCGCGCCTCGAGGTTGGAGGGGTGACGGGACAGGCACCAGCTGGACGGCGAATCCGCAGTGACGACGTCCGCCTTCCGGGCTTATTGGGTCGTGGGGCGTCGTCATCCTCCGCTGCACCCCTGGGAGCTCGTCCGTCTGGCGGGTTAGCTTCGAGGCCCCCATGGAAGCCTTGACGAAGATGCTGTCGCGACCGTGGTAGTGGAATGCGGGTCGGGTCTGCGCCATTATGCCTTCGCCGTCAGGGGCGCAGCTCCCGCGCTTCCATGGTTTGTTGCGTACGGCGGCGTGTTTGATTGCGGATTGTCGTGTCCAAGTATGTGTGTGTGTTTTTTTTTCTCTTCGTGTGTCGTGTGCCGTTCTTTTCTTCTCCATGCCTCAAGTAATCGTTGTCGGCGAGAAGGGGTCGCATGGACTGACCGTTTTTTCCTCGTTTTTTTTTCGGCGACCACCCTCCAATGTACCTGCTATCGACACCACCTGTCGCGGGCGCCGGATGCGCTTTTGTTTTTCGCGTGTTTGTTTTGCAGCTTGCTGGAGAATGTCGTATTCGGGCGCGTTTTTTTTTTTTTGTTTTGTTCGGTGTGACCGTTTTTTTTTTTCTTGTCCAGATCAGTGAAAAGTGTTGGACTCGGGCGACAATGTTATTTTTATTGGTTCTTTTCCGATTATTGTTGTGCCCAACTCTCGGGAAACTTTTCGTTTGTTTTCTTTTCATTTCTTTCGATGCATGATGGGACGATGCAGAGGGTTTCTACTATCCTATGCACGTCATTCTCCCCATCCCTTGCGTGTTTGTATTTCTATTGCCTTTTGATGTGTTCATCTGGCTACATTGTTGGTGTCACTTCGACCAACAAAAAGTTCTTTGCACATCACCGCCAGGGGGGGGTGCGTCCGGGCGTTTTTGTATTTTTGCTGAGCAAGGAAGGGCTGTTACGATTCACGTATCGTTTGGCGTGATAGGCGAACCGTGAGTTGGATAAGCGTTGTCTTCCTGTGGCAGAACAGCCGTTTGAATCATTCGTGATGAAGACGGCGTGATGGCGTTGGATTAATGAGGGGTTTTGATTCGGTGGCCGGGTTTCCCCTGTTTTTTTTTGTTTCTTGTGTTGTGGCTGTGTTTCGGTCCTTGGCAGACGTATTTCTATGCGCGAGTGAAGAGTCACTGGCATAAACAATCTTGGGAATTACACAGTCCAAAGTTGCTGTTGCGTGAGTTGGGAGATACATGGAGGATATGTGGTGGGAGACGTTCGGTGATTGTGCAAAGTCCTCGTTTCCTTTCGGATCTTTGGGGTTACCCCTTTCTCCTCTCTCTCTCTCTCTCTCTCTCTCTCTCTCCATCTGCGAGGAAACACACATTTAAACAGTAAGCCGAGTCAGTCGGCTCTACAACACCCCTTTACAAGGGGTAGAGGTTTGGGAAAAACCACCTCCCTCAACGCACTTGTGCGAGGGTGCGCTGTGTGCATTATTCCGAGTATATATGCTAATCAGGTGCGCATTTGCGTCCCCCCGGACATGACGATAGTACCGAAAAAGGACCGTAAACACACGAATTATTGAAACCTCTTTCGCTGCAACAAGAGCGAACAGCCGCGAGCGGAAGGCTCGGGGACAAACCATCCGGGTGATTGCCATGCACTCTGTTCCATAGCATCGCAAAACCAACGTAACGCCATGCAGTCGCAATCATCCGATCACGTAGTCCGGCAGACACCACACACACACGTAAGAACCCCTTCAACCCTCTTCAGCAAGGAAGGCGCGGAGAGAAGGTGGAGGCACACCAAAGAACGTCGACGTTTGGTTGGGGTAGAAGCAGCATTGGCAGTTCGTCAGGATGCCAGCTACGTTGTACTGCTTCCCAAGGCCACACGCGCTTAAACCTACTTGCTGCTTCTTTTGGTAATCAATGTAAG